TAGGATGTAATTTATTCCCTGTTTTTAGCTTCAGAAATCCGGGGTCTTACTATAGTCTAGGATGTAATTTATTCCCTGTTTTTAGCTTTAGAAATTCGGAGCCGTACTATGTTCTAGGATATAATTTATTCCCTGTTTTTATCTTCGGAAATCCGGGGTCTTACTATACTCTAGGATGTAATTTATTTCTTGTTTTTAGCTTTAGAAATTCGGGGTCATACTATACTCTAGGATGTCATTTGTTCCCTGTTTTTAGCTTCAGAAACACTCAAGTCGTATTATACACAAGAAAATGAAATAATTAAATAAAGAAGGAGATATGTGAAGTTTTTGGGATGCAATAAAGAAAGAGGATTTGGAGAATTTGACACTGAAAAGACAGGTTGAAAGCAAGAGAAATAAACAGCGTGTAACAAAACTAACGGGCCATGATCGCCATCGTTTTGAAGGGACACGACAGATAAAAGATGTATGGAGAAGGAAGCCTCTTTTTAGAGAAGGTTATAGTTGTGTAATCGATCTACACGACAATGGTGGGCTTGCAATCACTTGTGCAATTTAAAATATTTTATTGCCTTTCAGTACTTTTTTCGACAGTTAATCATATGCAAAACGTTCTTGTTATGGTAGGAAAAATATATTTAAAAAAAAAAGGCACTACGGAAAAAAATAAAACGGGAGATAATGAGAGAAGATCCATTTTTCTTTCTGCTCGGCTATTGCATTTGCTGATTTAATTTTTTTAAATCAGAACAAATCATTCGTTTAAAAATAATATTCACCAAACAAAAAAATAAATCAGAACAAACTATTCGATTCAAAATAACATTCACCAAACCAAAAATTACATCAGAATAAAATTATTCGTTTAAAAATAAAATAACATCGATAAAAAATATGTCGATAAAAATGGCAGAAAATTACACAGCACTTATTTCGATTAACCGTGTTACTTAGAACGATTACTTCGCTACTTATGTAAATATAGTCTTAATGGCAATAATAGTGACAGGAAGCTATAAAAAGGAATTGTCGATTATTTACAATTAATTTGTTTATATAATGTACTAACTATGGTTTGTATCATGTGGCAATAATTATGAGTAAAATGATGCGCTAAAATAAGTAGCCAAATAATCGTTTTAAGTTCTCTGAATATCTGTGCTAAAAATAAAGTTGTACTTGGCAATGTTTTACCGTTTACACTACAAATGTGCTTTACTGAAAATTTGACAAATTAGTATTTTTTTAACTATTTTTTTAATTTTATTTTCTATTTAGTCATGTTTTACCGTATTTTACAATACAACTTTACTTTAAAAATTTTGAAAGCACTAATATTTTTTTCAATTCATCTTTAATTGCTTTATCTATTTGCCAATATTTTACTGTATCTTACACTAGAATGTACCTTATCGGAAACTTTGACAACGCTTATATTTTTCGGTTGATACTTAAATGCCGCTTCTATTTGGTAATATTTTGCCATAACTTACACTCCGAATGTACTGGATTGAAAGTTTTAGAACTGCTTTTTCCATTTGATAGTATTTTACTGTATCTTATACCATGAATATGCTTTAGTGAAAACTTTGACAGGACATACATTTTTCGACAGTTTTAATTGTCTCTTCTATTTGATATTTTACTGTATCTTACAATACAATGCTACTTTATTGAAACCTTTGCCAGCACTTGTATTCGATTAATTTTTAACTGCCTCTTCAATTTGCAATATTTTATCCTATCTTAAATACTTGAAAATTTTGACAGCACTGATTTTTTTTTTGAGTAATTTTTAACTGCCTCTTCTTTTTGAAAATATCTATGGGTTTTCGGCACAGAAGGCGCCGTTAAGCACCTATAAAAACGAGGTGCTTCCTGTTTTCATCCTCTTGTCACTCTTTTCATTCTAGCATATGGTAGAAATGACAACGTCAATCGGGACCTTAGTGAGTGAGCTTTCACACACACACACACACACACACACACACACACACACACACACACATACGTGTATCATTCACAGAAGTTTTAATTCTTCTTTTTTTTTCATAGTGTGTTTTCTCTCTCTTGTTACAATCCTAGACCACAAGAATTTGAAATTGACGATTTGTAATTTTTTGAACGTCACCAATATTTGTCTTTATCATTGACATGAGATATTATGATTATCTATATTATTTACATTATTCAGACTGTTATCCTCATCTTCATTACGATATTCACAACGTTTCGGCTGTTGCACGCTCCGGACTTCTTCAGATGATTCGAATTTCGAACCAAACTCCTTATTTCATCCACCTGGGTAAATTGTTCTAGTTCCTCAAGGACACATGCCCTAGTGGATAAAGACGTTGGTTAGATCCAGTGACTAGATTCAAAGAATTCTGAGTTCAATACCAGACCAAAAATAAAAAATAAAACTTTGAGAGTTGAGATAAGAAACGTGGAACTAGAATTATTTGATGTTAATTATGTCCTTTTTGTTTCCATTTTCTCAAAAACTTTGTTGTTGCTCACATGTTCGGTCCATGGTATTCTCAGCATCCTTCTGTAGGACCACATTTCTGTTGCTTTAGGTTTCTTCTTCCTCTATGAGGAGACTGTCCAGCATCTACTGCCATATAGGAAGACTGACAATATTCCTTTTATATATTATTCTGTTTCCGGGATTTCTTTCCTTTTCTTCTCTCCCTCTTTCCAGGGATTTTTATATGTGCGTTTCTGTACGAGATCTCAATGTTGCTCGTTCTATTTTGTACTCGGGGTATTCTTCTTCCATTGTTACATATTCATGTTTCGAAATCCTCTTGGCCTGTTGCTTTCAATAGGTTCCGTAAGTGTCAAATTCTCCGAGCCCTCTTTTCTCGTGATGCTCCCTAGAAGTCTTAACGGCGTCTTTCTGATCTTAAGTATACGTCATTCAGTTCATGGTATTCTCAGCATCCTACTGTAGAACCACATTTATGTTGCTGGAAGCTTCTTCATCATTCACTGCCATATAGGAGTACTGATATTACGTAGCAGTTCAATAATCTTTTCTTTGTTTCTGACGAAATTTTTCTGTTCCTTAAGACTTTGCTTAGCTTTGGGAGGGTACCTTTTGCTATCCCAATGCGCCTGCTGATTTCGGTGTCACGCTTTCCGTCTTCCGTCAAAACACTTCACAGATATTTAAGTTATAGCATTCGTTCGATTTTGGTATCTTCAATTTGTAGGTGATCATGGCCCTCCACAACTTGTTGTCCCTTGTAACTCTTAATAAATGTTGTCTCTTTGTTATTTCTCCTAAACCTTGTTCCACCATTCATTTTCTAAACTTGTCAAGTATGTTATACTTTGTTTCCCCCTGTCCCTTTGGCTTTTAATCTGTCTTGTGAGAATCAGATTTTCCAAGCCCTCTTTCCTCATTATGTGCCCCAGAAATTTCAACTGTATCTTTCTGATGTTAAGTATAAGTGTCCATTTTTGTTTCAATTTTCTCTAAAACTTCATCGTTTCTCACATGTTCAGTCTATGGTATTCTCAGCATCCTTCTGTAGAACCATATTTCTTTGCTTCAAATTCCTTCTTCATCTATAAGGAGATTGTCCAATATCCACTGTCATATGGGAGGACTGAATCACATAATAGTTCAGTACTCTTTTCTTTGTTTTTAACGAAATTTTCCTTTTTCTTAATACTTTGCTTAGTTTTTGGAAGGCACCTTTCGCTATTCAAATGCGCCTTTGGATTTTGGTGTCACACTGTAATCATCTTTAACCATGCTTTCATTTGTTTAATTCTGTAGAGACATGTTTCGTTGTTAGTCTTCAAGATATTAACTGGGCGTGCCTATGAAATGGTCGTTGTCTTTTGCCCCTCATAATCTTTTCGGAGCCTTATCTCAACTTTTATTATAATGGCTCCTTGAATCATTAAATTAGCCGTCTCCGGACCCGACTCATTAAAATACTTTTAGAAATAGAAAGACCTTACGAAAAAATACTCCATTTTTATATGCAGATATTGAATAAGGACTCTTCTTCAGCACTTGGCTCTTAACTCCTTTTACTGTTCTTTTGATTTTAAGAGTCTCTCAAGTTTTCTTCTCATCATCATCGTATTATTTTTATTTTTACGTTAATTTAATGGCTTCTTGCTATTTTGAGGCCCGATTCTTCGAACACTTCCAAGGGTGGCTTTGAGGTTACCTTTTAGGTCAACCATTGAGATTCGAGTGATACTGATTCAAGTGACCGTATGAAGTTACTGACTCGTTTCAATGTCATAGACGATAATCGCAACTAGTTAGGTTTAGATAGGACGTTCAAACTTTAATGAAGGTATTCTAAATTTTAGATTTCTAATGAGTCGATTATTGATACCGATCCTTGCCCAAATGTTCCCAAATTCTTCCATATTTTTTTTTTGTTGCCTCGATTGTTTCAGTTTTATTTCCAGCTTCAAATTCCCTCAGTATTTAAGCAAAGGTTTTGGGGATTATAACAAGCTTTCTAATAATGATGGATAAAATAATCATACTCATATACGAGGGTCATTCAATGAAATTTTGAGACTTTTTTTTAGAAGTAGTTATAACTGTCCTAGATTTTTGTAATTTTACTATATAATTGCTATACATCTGTCATATATATTCGAGTATAGTGCGAGATTTTATGATTAGATTTTTACCTCAAAAAATAGCGGTCGCACTATACACAAGTATTTTTTGAAGTGATTAAAAATTATGCATTTTCGGTGACCGGTTGCACTACGCATAGGTAATATTTTGAAGAGGATAAAATCATGCATTTTCGATGAACGGTTGTACTATACACAGATAATTTTTTTTTGAAGAGGTTAAAAATCATGCATTTTCGGTGACCGGTTGTACTTTACACCGGTTATATTTTGAAGAGATTAAAATCATGCATTTTCGGTAACCGGTTGTACTATGGATAGGTGATTTTTTTTTTGTTGTGGTTAAAATTAATGCAAAAAAATCCAGGGATCACACTATACATTAAGTCGGATTATACACGGATATATACACGTAATAAGCTGACTGCCAACTTTGCTAAATTCAGAATGAAGGAGACGGCTGTAACAGCTATTTGAACACATCCTAGACGGCTTATCACAGCTGGTTAGTTTGAAGAATGCCGTCAGCACGTGTAGATAATTTGGAAGCTCGCAATGAAATAAAATTTTATGTTAAACTGAGCAAAAACGCTACAAAAACTCATGAAATGCTCTAAACTGCTTATGGATTATCTTATATAACCTGAGCGTCTGTTTTTCGCTCGCACACGAGGTTCGAGGATGGTAGAGAGGAGGTGAGAGAAGATGAGAAATAAGGGAGGAAGAGAGAATCAAAACATTAAAACCAAAGAAAATTTGCAATGCGTCTCAAAGACTGCCGTGTGTCTATAAAGACAATAATCATAGTTTGGAATTGTGGCAACTTTAAACAGAATTATTCATGAAAATTTGAACATACGTAAAATTTGTGCAAGGTTTGTTCCCAGGGTACTTATTGAAGAATAGAAAGAAGGACGCGTTGATCACAGTAGGGGGATGGTTGACGAGCATCAAATCTGTCCCTCACCCTCCCTACGTTCCAGATCTTGCTCTCTGTGACTTTTGGTTGTTCTCTGGGCTAAAGGAGAAACTCAGGAGCAGTGGTTTAAGATACATTGAGAAGATGGAGGAGGCTGTGACAAGGGTTCTGGACACCTTCACTGTGGATGATTTCCATGGGGCCTTGACTAAGTGGCTGGAGTGCTACAAATCCATTAAACTCAGAGAATCCTACTTTGAAGATTAGAGTTTTGTACTTCTTGGAATGTAATAAATGTCAATCCTGAAAAAAAAAAATTCTCAAATCTCCTGGAATGAACATTGTGTATATAAATTCTACCAAAATCTTTAGACAATAAAATTGTTTAAATGTTTATATTTGCCACGTAGACAATATTGTTTTAATTAATTTTTCTACATATTATTAATAGCATTCCACATATATATTAACTTATGAAATACTCCAGACTACCTATGGTTTAATTTGTATGAGCCGAACATGTTTTTTGCTGGCACAAGATGTTCAAGTAAGATATAGAGGAGATTAGAGATTTTAGAAGAAGAAAGACGTCAAAACATCTGAGATGGTTAAGAAACTTCACACTGTTCTAGACGAAGTCTGCCGTGTGTCTATAAAGACAATAAGCATACAGTTTGGAGTTGGCGTAGCAATTGAACATACGCAAAATGTGTGTAAAGTTTGTTCTTATTGTGCTCAGTGACAAACAGAAGGAAATACACATTAAGTGACAAAGATGAGGAATCAAAACTGTCTCTCACCCTCCTTAGAACCCAAACCTTGCTCCCTGTGACTTTTGGCTGTTCCTCAGACATTGAGATGATGAAGTAGCCTGCGACAGAGGTCCTGGACACCTTTACTTTGGATGACTTCCATAAGGCCTTCACGAAGTGGCCGGAGAGCTATAAATGCATTGAAATCAGAGGATCCTATTTTGAAGTAGATTAGAGTTTTGTACGTTGAAACGAATAAATGTCTCTCCTGAAGACAGTCTCAAAACTTCTAGAATGCACCTCATACGATAAATCTTTCAGTTTCTAACACGGTTTAATTATTACTCTTGTTCTTGCTGTTGGTGTTATGCTGCGTTATTTTCCCTTAGAGCATCAGCTTTTCATTTCAAATACGGTACTGCAGATAGGATTTTTTTTTTTAATATCTCAATTTGTTACGAAAGATAGGATAACATTTGGTGGTCTTTCGTATGTGGCCCTGAGGCCGGAGTTGGGGGATCTTTGATTTAGCTCCGCCTATAGAATCAGAAGCAGTGATCATCACAAATCCATTAACAGAAAAAAATATGAAAAATTGGCAATCGATTGACGTTTAATTACTTTTGATCAAAATGGAACCCGATTGAAAAGCCCTTGATATAAACCTTGCATACATGCATATATATATATATATATATATATATATATATATATATATATATATATATATGTATGTATGTGTGTGTGTGTACGTATGTATGTATGTGTGTGTGTATATATATATTACCAATTGGATAATGGGAGTTAATTTTCTTTATTTCTTCAATATTATTTAATATCTTTCTTTATTCGATATTATTTCATTAATACCTTACTTTTCTTTTTTCTTTCTCAGATTAATATCTTTCTTTTTTTGATATTATTTAGATAATATATTTTCTTTCTTTCTCTGATATTATTTCATTAATATCTTACCTTTCTCTTCTTTCTTTCTTTCTTTCTTTCTTATTATTTAATTTATACGTTCTTTTTTATATTATTTAAATAATATATTTTCTTTCTTTCTTATTATTTAACTAATATCTTTCTTTTTTTGATATTATTTAAATAATATATTTTCTTTCTTTCTTTCTTTCTTTCTTTCTTAGATATTATTTCATTAATACCTTTCTTTCTCTTCTTTCTTATTATTTAATTTATACGTTCTTTTTTGATATTATTTCAATAATATATTCTCTTTCTTTTTTCTTTCTCATATATTATTTCATTAATGCCTTTCTTTCTTTCTTTCTTTCTTTCTTTCTTTCTTTCTTTCTTTCTTTTCTTTACCAGGTAATACCATTACTAATCTCTGTTGGATTTGTCGTCCATTATGTTTAAACATGCCAAACGGCATACTTATCTGATCAGTTTTCTGCATTCCGAGATCCGACCGGCTTAGCGTGTTGGTTCGAATCTATCTGCTTTCATTTATTTATATCTACGCATCTCAGTTCATCACACAGTGCCTCGCCCTTTCTTTCTATCCTTACCTCCGCCCCACACGCGCGTGCATATAGACACACGAATGATATATATTTGGCTCTGTTTCTATGTGCGTATGTTTCTGGTAAAACTGGAACAGATTAAGATAGATAGGAAAAGATTGTGACAGACAAATATGAAGAGAGACAGAAAAATACGAACAACTTGACATACATACGAACATAGACAGATTGAACAGGTTGTGTTATGAATAGACATAGATAGATAGATAGATAGATAGATAGAAACAGGCTTAAATAGGAATAGACTGAGACAGATATAAACAGGCTTAGATATAGACTGATATATATATATATATATATATATATATATATATATATATATATATATATATATAATCATTTAGAGGCACCTCGAGGCAGTGTAATGATTAGCAAACTTGTCTCACTAGAACAATTACGACTGAGTAGTGATTTCGATCCTCACCGGGTGCTCCATACTTGTGCCACATCTAAGCTAGCTTAGAAAATCATTTAGGGGCACCTCGAGGCGGTGTAATAGTTAGCAAGCTTGTTTCGCTAGAACAATTACAACTGAGTACTGAGTTCGATCCTCACTGGGTGCCCCCTTACTCTCGGCCATGTGCACAAAACTTATTCGTGAGGATTAAATGTATATTTATTCTTAGTTTAAATTTAGCTCTGTTATTTTACATTGGGCATTTTTTATTATTACCACCAGCAATCACGCTGAATATAACATCATTCAGGTGACAAATTTTATATTTGTATTAATACTATATTTACATTATTCGGACTGTTATCCTTATCTTCATTGCACTATTCACAACGTTTTGGCCGTTATACGCTTCTGTCTTCAGGTGATTGTATTTTCGAAACGAACCCTTTATTTCGTCAACCGGGGTCGATTGTTCTAGTTTCATGTGCCACTCAACTCTCCAAGTTTTTGGTTCACCACAGCTGTAGCCTGGTATTGAACTCTTTGGGTCTAGTCACTGTTTCTATCCAACGCCTTTATCAACTGCTCCTTGAGGAAATTTGTGTATGAATCCTTGGGAGCCTAATGTCTCAGCACAAATGTCCTCAAGGTCCAGTGGATAGAGGCGTTGATTAGATTCAGTGACTAGACTCAAAGAGTTTTGAGTTCAATACCAGGTTACAGCAGTGGTGAACCCAAAACATGGAGAGTTGAGTTAAAGGGAAATAACACCAGAAAGAGGCATGGCATGTGGAACTAGAACAGTCTACACCGATGGACTAAATAAAGGGTTCGGTTCGAAATTCCAGTCACCTGAAGAAGGCTGAAGCGTACAACGACCGAAACGTTGTGAATATGGCAATGAAAATGAGGATAACAATCTAAATAATGTAAGTAAACATAATACTTCATCACGCACACACACACACACACACACACACACACACACACACACACACATATATATATATCAATACTGTGTATTTGGGTAGCAATCACTCTTTTATACAAGTCCCATTGAAGGTGCTTGACAAACTTTTTATATTTTCTTGCATGCGTAGAAGAGATTTCTTTTTTGAAATATGGTTTGTACGAACTATCCAAATGAAGTTTGAATTTTAGCGCAGATATTTTTATAGCAATAGGGATTTTTTAATTCCCAAGCACAGTCAGCATATTGTGGCCGTGTTCATAATAATTCATCATTAAGAGCTGGTTTCTTCCCTTTTATTATTGAAGATTCCATTATTTCAATAATTGTCTTCTGTCATTAAATGAGGTTATTATGTCGGTGTTTTCTTCGAATATGTTGCTGTAAGAGGCTGTTCGGTCTCTGTGTATATTTAAATGGGTCCTAATAGAGCTATAGTCGAGAGGTGCAAGGTAAGTCTTCTTGATAAGCATGTAGTTATATAGCCAACGTAATTCTTATTCGTGAATTTGTTTTCAACACTTTTGTTTTAAGCTTGCAAAATTGTCTGAATGAGAACTCTGAAAACCTGTAAAACCACTTAAACCAGTTCATTACCAATAAAGATGCCAATTTCTAGGAGGATGGTATCAGGAACCTGTGTCAAGTATGGCGAAAGATCTTCTTCTGCGTGATATGTCCTTTCAGGATGTTGGCGATCATAGCTCTCCACAATTTTCTGTTCTTTGTAGCTGTAATTAAATTTCGTATTTTTCCTATCTCTCCTAGATTACGACTGAGTAATGAGTTCGATCCTCACTGGGTGCCCCTTACTTTCGGCCATGTGCCACATCTAAGCTAGCTTAGAAAATCATTTAGAGGGACCTCGAGGCGGTGTAATGGGTAGCAAGCTTATCTCGCTAGAACAATTACAACTGAGTAGTGAGTTCGATCCTCGCTGGGTGCTCCCTACTCTCGGCCATGTGCCACATTTAAGCTAGCTTAGAAAATCATTTAGAGGAACTTCGAGGCGGTGTAATGGTTAGCAAGCTTGCCTCGCTAGAAAAATTACGACTGAGTAGTGAGTTCGATCCTCATTGGGTGCCCCATACTTTCGGCCTTGTGCCACATCCGAGCTACGCTTGGAAAATCGCTAATATACGCATTGAGTATAATACAACCCCGATTTTTTTAAGTTAAAAACAGGAAATAAATTACATCCTTGAGTACAATACGGCCCTATGAAGCTAAAAACAGGGAAGAAAGTACATCCTTGAGTGTAATACGACCTCGTGTTTCTGAAGCTAAAAACAGGGAATAAATTACATCTTTGAGTATAATACAACCTCGAAGTAGAGACGTCCCGAGGTAAAATTTTTTGTAAAGTTTTATCATATTATCCATCAAAATTTCAATGTCGTGCATATATTTCACTAAAATATTTAATTTTTCACGATATTAAAGAACAGAAATGAACCGGATATTCAGCCTTTTCGTTTTTCTTCTAATTTTCATTTTAAAACTCATTTCCAAATTTTTGGAGAAAGATGTTAATTTGCCATTAAAAAAAAAAAATTCCACAAAGCAATAAAGCCACTAAGACGCAAAGAGTGTGAGAGAATGTGAGAAAAATAAAAAATTATTAAGGGGAGAGAACAATAAAAGAACAAGAATTAAGAAGACGCAATGTAGCGATTAACACTGCATTTAAATTTTTGAAAATCAAAGTTGACTGGAAAGCAAGAATCCGGAAGAGAGTTCCACAAGCGAGAAGTGTGAAAGAAAAAACTCTTAGCATAGAACTTACGGTTACATCTAGCCATTTCCACTGTAAAATGATTAGACCTTGCTGCCAATTTAATACTTCGCTTAAATTCATAAAGTCTAGGTATCAAGTTGTTCATCATGAAAGTATTTATAGAAAAGGCACAGGGAAGTTACGTTACGGCGGTTGGGGAAGTGATTGAAGCCGAGATGCCAGGTCAACACATTTTGTAAACAACTGTTATCAGCACCTGACTAATTTTTGTTTTATTATCCACTGTGCTGAATGTATTTGCAATCTTGCTGTTTCAACTAAGAAGTTTTTAAACTGAGTAAAAATTTCTGAAAACGTGTACTTGTGTATAATACAACACCGCTTTTTGCCTTTAATTTTCATTCAAAATTTCTCGTATTATGCAAAAAATACGGTTTATACATTTTCACTTATTTGTCGATAAGTAAATGTCTATCGCCAGCCTGATCCTATGGAAGATTGATTCATTACGTTTGTAATAAAATAATAGACTGTACAATCTGACATACTTTTTGTGTGTATATATATATATATATATATATATATATATATATATATATATATATATATATATAAGTGAATATAGAAGTCAACACTTAGAGGCGACAGTCTGTTTCAGGCTAGATGCAATCGTGGCCTGACGATTGCATCTAGCCTGATGATTGCATCTAACATGAAACAGATTGTCGCCTCTAAGTGTTGACTTCTATGTTCACTTTTATATTTACACACGCTCTATCTCTGGTATTGAGCACTTTATCCCATAAATATAGCCCATCTTAAGACTATATTTCTTTAGTGTGTGTGTGTGTGTGTGTGTGTGTGTGTGTGTGTGTGTGTGTGTAAAGGTAAAAGATAATAGGAAATCTGTATTATTAGCCAACGCGTTTCGTCAAATGTGGACTTTTTCAAAGCAAAAACGAAATGAATTTATTGAAAACAAGGTAACTATTAACAACAAAAATGTCCTTAGCAATTAGAAGAATTTAGAAAACGCTATTGTATGCATATAGTCAACTGAAAATTACGTCAAGTAATTTCACGCGTAGAAATATTGTTTTTTATTGCTGTGTTTACAGATTCAACTATTTTCTTTTGATTTTTTTTTATATAGTTGTTGTGGATGTTGGCTTACGAGAGTAGTAATTCTTTTAGGAAAGGTGATATTGGGAAAAAAACCTGGGCGTATATTAATATTTGGATAATATTCAATGGCGACACTCTCGAGGATTTTCATTCTGGGTCAGTTAATTTCTTTTTTTTTTATGTGTGTAGCATTTTTAAAATCAAAATTGTGGTTGAATTTATTTCTATGTATGACTAGTGCATTAATTAAGTTGTTATTTGTGAAGTCTCTTTTGTGCTCATAGATGCGGTTTTTTTAAAATTTCTGCTTGTTTCTCCAATATATTGGAAGGAACAGTTTTGGCAATTTATTTTATAAATGCCTACTTCAGAAATATTATTGCTATTAGTGTTTGAGAATCTGATTATATCCATAATGGTTTTGGAAGTGATTGTGATTATTTTATTTTTTATTTATTTAGATGGGATATGTTGTTCTGGATAGTGGACGTGACGGAATTGGTCGGTTGTATTACGCATCTGTTTTCATGTAATTTATTATTAAAAATTATGTTATTATTTTTGTTTCGGTTGTATATTTTGTATGCCTTTCTTCTTGCATTGTGGATGAAATGATATGTGTATTGAATGTGTTTTCTATGTATGTTTCTTTAGGTAAATATTGGGGGCTACAGATTCTTAATGCTCTCAGATAGAAACCTATTATAATTTCAGATTTAATTTTAGAAGAGTGGTTTGAGTAGAAAGTGCTCAGGTCACTTTTGTTTGTAGCCTTTCTGTAAACGTCAAAATTGAGTTCGCTATTGCTTTTGTGTAACATGATATCTAGGAAGGGAAGAGTGTAGTTGGTTTCAGTTTCAAAAGTGAAGTCTGTTGTAGGTTCAACGCTGTTAAGTTGGTTGAGAAGATCTGTTAAATTAGTATTTTGTGGATATATTAATAGTGAGTTATTTATGTGTCTGAAAGAAGAAGAGTTTGGGGGGAGAATGTTTTTGAATGAGTCACTTTCTAGAAACTCTAAAAATAGACAAGCAGGAACGCTGCTGAGATGAAATCTCGTTAGTAAACCAATATAAAATGTATATATATATATATATATATATATATATATATATATATATATATATATATATAGGGTCAACTAATATTAGTTTATGCAGCAGACTAATAAGGCAGAGAACAATGTGACTAAAATATGATGGCGCCCCATCATGCATGAACCACATGCTTCTTCGTATTAGCAGGGCTACATCCTCTAGCAGGTCTTGAAGTGTGTTCGAAAAAAAGTCCTTGTAGACAGCTCCTGTAAGACGAGCTGGGAGAACATGTGGACCTATCAGAGAGTCACCTACAATTCTAATCCGCACATTAATCGAAAACTGATGCTGGTGTCTAGCCTGTATTGTACCATGGGGATTCCAATCCGCCCACAAATATTGGTTGTGTAAATTTGTTATTCGATCTCTTCTAAATGTTGCCTCATCCGTAAACATGACTGAAGAGACAAACAACGGATCGGCAGTTTGTGCAATAAACCACCGGCAAGAGCTCATCCGTGGTGAGTGATCAGAGGGCGAAAGACTCTGCATACATTGCACATGATACGGATACAGGAGCTGTTCTTGAAGTACCCTTCATATGGTACTATAAGATGTACGACATGCTAGGGCCACTTGACATGTACTGATACAGCTGTAGAATGTATTCTTCATGGTGCCACGGATCCTGTCTCAGCAACATGACGATAAATAACGGCAAAGGTTGGATGACTTGACTGCCTTAAGTCTGGAAACGCAATCTGATACAGCCTCGCGTCTATTATCATTCGCGCGGCCGTATGTAAAAATCATATTTGCCTGCTCACGATATATCATGCCATTGTTAAACGGAACACTTCTCAATTAACTCATACACGTTAAACGCTGAATACAGACAAGCCACAAATATACACGAGTAAGAAATGTAACCTAGTCTACATGGCAACGCAGCGCCATCTACCATAAACTTTCTTTAAACTTAATAACTCAAAAACGAAGGATTTGTGGACATATGCTGATATTAACTTTTATCTTTTTGTTGTGAGGAATCCACCGCCAAAGTTTGTAAAAATATATAGTATATACACACTGTGTATATACTAGGCGCATATATATTGTTAAGTGATGAAGTTGTGAACAGTTTTTTTTTTGCTCTGTTTGGTTAATCTGGCTGTTGATTACTGCGTAGGTAGGTGTTTGCATTTTGGTCTTTCTTTTTTCTTTCTCTGTTCGAATTTTTTTCTTGTCTAAGGTCGTCTAACAAATCATCTATTGGTTACACCAACATCGTTGGATTTTTCTAGTATATATATATATACTGACCTTGCCAACCGAACGATCCTTTGTGGCCGAGCGGTCAAGGCACGTCAGTGTAAATGACGGTTCCGTATAGGATGCAGGTTCGAATCCTGTCAAAGGACGAATATTTTCTATGAAAATTTCTCGGACATTCAGACCGGTAAATGTTATTTAATACTGTTTATTATAAACAGAGCATTTACTTAAATACTTGTATCTATAAAAAAGAACGTTAAACATAAAAATGTCTTTAATAAATAAATTGTCAGACTTTGTCCATTTCTTAATATATATATATATATATATACATGGGCAGCAATTATTCACTCTAATAAGTTTTATTAAATTCAATGTACGAGATCTGTTTGTGTAAATTTATATTGTATTTTAAACGACAAAATGTAGCAAGAGGGGAAGATAACAGATGGAGTAAGAGGCTGCTTAATAGCTACGCTATAGGGCGTAAATGTAAGAAGTATCTAGAGAGTAAATGTAGTGATGGGATAGAATTTTTGCTGCTAAGACTTGACAGAAAATAGTTGTTTAATGCATCTAAAAAGCAATTGTTAAAAGAATTTTTAAAGCATTCCTATAGTAAAATCATTTGCAATGAATTTCTATAGATGCTTTTAGTATTTGCTATATCACTAGATATGGAATCATTAGAGTGAATGAAAGTTTGGATGGATTTGTTTCATAAATCCTAGCCATAATATTCCAGGTTCCATAAAGAGCTAGTATTCAAATCATTTCTAATGCATTCCTATAGTAAAATTATTGCCAATGAATTTCTATAGATGCTTTTAGTATTTACTATATTACTAGATATGGAATCATTAGAGGGAATGAAAGTTTGGATGGATTTGTTTCATAAATCCTAGCCATATTTCAGGTTCCATAAAGAGCTAGTATTCAAATCATTTCTAATGCATTCCCATAATAAAATCATTTGCAATGAATTTCCATAGATGCTTTTAGTATTAGCTATATAACTACATATGGAATCATTAGAGGAAATGTAGGTTTAGATGGATTTGTTTCATAAATCCCACCTGTGATATCACGTGTCAAGCTAATTTTCTATAAAAACTATTTGCACCAGTCAGATGAGTGTATTGCAATTCATTCGCTGAAATTTAACAGAGATTCGCGGCAAGTAATCTGAAATGAACCATACGCTTGATTCACTATGAAAAAAAGTAGCCAATAATTTTACAATAAAAACGCATTGCAATTGATTTTATAATAAAACCCGCGTTGCTGAAGATTATTTTTTACGAAAAATAGAAATTCATTTTGCGAATCGTTCACATTAGGAATAATTCAGAAACAAAAAATTGTTTTTCAATTCAAAGAATTCAATGAAGCGCTAAAATGAAATTCGAACAATGCGCACAGCAGGGGAATGTTGGAAGAATACCTGTTAACCTGCACAATTGTTTAGATTGGCATTTTCTGAGGTTGAAAGTTGGTTGTTAGCAAACTCTTGTTGAAAAAAGATGTAAGGAACAACTGCTTAGGGAGTCATCCGCAAAAGAGAATGGAGGCTGATCTAATAAAATGATTGTGTGACAGAAACGAATGCACGACCAGCATATTGTCTACGGAGAAATACCAGTAACATGATTTATGCGGTGAAATTTGAAAAAAAAAAAAAAAAAAAAGAAGGAAGACGAAAATGATAGTGAAAAGAAAGTAATTTAGTGAAAAGTTAAGAAAATGAACGAAAGAAAACTTCTTTTAAATTTTCTATTCAATGATTTGCTGTTGTCTTCCATTTACATTTATCCTGACAACAGGCCGAAAGACAGACACATCTTGTCGGGTTTGTATCAATATTATTCTGACAATCAAATTTGCACACGTCATCAGAGCGCAGCTGGTTACTGTCCTATCGAAATTGTAAAAGCAATAAAGGAATATTTCAACTCTTTTTTTTTTAAGCCCGAAAACATGGACGTATTTTGTACTTTACACATACATTAAAAAAATATCTGCGACACGATTTCGAGTAAAGCCATCTCGATATATCCTTAAATATGGTCAGCGCGAATGTGTTTTTTATTGCTGATAAACAGAAGTATCACTCACAAACACATCTATCTATCTATCTATCTATCTATCTATCTATCTATCTATCTGTATATATATATATATATATATATATATATATATATATATATATATAATAACTTTTTTTTTTAAGTGGCCTATCGGTCGGAAATTAAGCTAGCTCCAGCGGAGGGTCCTTGATAGAGCCTTCGGCTTGTTCAGGAGCTTGAGAGTCCCTAAATCTTTGCATATTCAAAGCATTGGAAGCTCTCCTGGTTGCGGTTTTCTTTTTTGCATATAAGTATATTTTTTTTTTAAATCCACATTAAAACCAAAAACGTTTGCAGCTTCTCTCCTCTCTTTAAAATATACAATTTTCTCTCGTTGGAATAACAATAACCTTTCCCTTTTGTACACACACACACACACACACACACACACACACACACACACACACACACACACACACACACACACACACACACAAATATATATATATATATATATATATATATATATATATATAATCAAAGTGTAGAAGAACGAACAGTAAGATTACAGCGTTCAGAATATCAATTTTAAAACGGTGGTCAATACACAAAGTAAAGCCGTAAATATTTATTTATCTCATGCAGTGTTACATTAGAACATGCACATATCCACAAAAATTGTACACCGTGATTCCCCACCTGATGAGACATTTAAAAAAGGTTTTCCTTTTTTTGACGTTGAAACAAAAATCTACAATTTTGTAGTGGATATGTCAATGTTCTAATTTAACACTGCATAAAATCAATAATAAATAATGAGTAAAAGATAGTTAACAACTCTATAAAATAGCCAAACGGCATTCGAATTCGCAATTATTTCTACTCAACCACCCTGAGAATAATTTGAAGCATTACCGTTACCACCCACTCAATAACCGTTATAACAATGCAATAACGCACCATTGACCAGCGTATATAAACTGAGTCAAAATACAATACACATGGCCTGAAGATTGCGTTTAAGTATAAAACAGACTACCGCCGCTGGGTATTGACCTCAATATCCACTTTTATATTTACATAAACTCTATCCATGATATTTTTACTCATAAATATAGCATGCCGTAAAACTATTTTTATCTCCCTCCACACACACACACACATATATATATATATATATAATAAGCTAACCAGATATAGTTCCTTGCTCCTCTTAACTCAATCGAGGACAAGAAGATTATAAATTAGTGCACAACGACTAAATATTCAGTTCACTGCATGAAGCATCCATTTGTCTTTATAAATGTAAAACTGTCCCTTTGATTCTAATAAGTTTGTAGACTCTTTTGCCAACAGCTATCTGTTTACTTGTGTTCCGCTTCGGGAAAATATTAAAATATGATGCTTTATATGAGAGTCATTTGTTTCCCTCACCATAAAAAAGTTAGCCCACACCTGTATTAGAATATGGCACTGATATTCAGAGAACTTAAAACGATTACATTATTTACATTATTCGGACTTTTGTCCTCATTTTTGTCGCCATATTTATTACAACGTTTCGGCCATTGTACGCTCCGGCCTTCTTCAGGTGGTTGGAATGTCGAACTTAACCATTTATTTCGCTCACTGGGTAGACTGTTCTAGTTCCACGTGCCATGTTTAATGGATGTCAGTTATCAGTTATCTCCTGTTAATTTCCCTCTAAAAGTTCTCCACTGCCTTAACTGGGTACTGAACTCACACTTTTTGGGTCCTGTCACTGGATCTAACCAACGCCTTTATCCACTGTGCCATGTGTCCTTGAGAACGCATGGCACAGCGGTATAGACAGATATTAAAACGATTATTTGGTTACTTATTTTAGTGCACGGTTTTACTTATAATTATGGCTATTTGATGCAAACAATAGTCAGTGCATTATTCAAACAATTTAGCTTCAATAATTAATGGTGCCTTTTCAAGGTGTTCTAGGCTCAATGGATAAAGACGTTGGTTAGGTTCATAGAATTTGCCTCTACTATTATTATTATAAAGGCCTGAAGACCATAGTTTGCACAGGGCTCTACAGCATATTATTATTATTACTTTTATTTTCTTTGATTTCTGCCGTTTACACATTTCTTTCCAGGTCCCGCCCAGGGACCTAAGGTTAGAAATGGCATCATGACACTTTCCACTGACAAAAAAAAAAAAAAAAAAAAATACATAGATAAAGCCATTCATAAATTGTGGGCTGTACTTGTGAGAACAATTTTTTGTATTTCTTTGAGGCATGGGCTTCCAGGAATCCTTTTAATTAGTCTACTGGAATCTTTTCCATCCAATTCTAGGGTTCCAACTACAACAGGGATTGTTGATGTTCCCATGTGCCACATTGTTGAGATTTCTATTTTATGGTCATTGTATTTTGACAGTTTTTTGAATATCTTCAAAGATACATTGCAGTCTGCAGGGACTGCCATATCAATAAGGAGGCACTTTTTTTTTTGCTTGTGGTCTTTAATAACAATGTCTGGGCGCTTGGCTTTGATTGTTCTGTCAGTGTGTATTGTGTAGTCCCATAGAATTGTAACAGGTCCTATCTCTGGGTGGTCTTCATACCAGTTTCTTTCAGTTTCCTTGCCGTAGAAATTGCAAATTTTCCACTGCAGATATTGGCCCACTCTGTCATGCCAGGTTTTATACTCAGTGACTGCCAATATCCTGCAACCTGATACAAGATGATCAATTGTTTCTGGATATTTATCATTTATTATTATTATTATTATTATTATTATTATTATTATTATTATTATTATTATTATCTTTGATTTCTGTTTTATACTCATTTCTTTCCGAGTCTCAACCAGAAACTAAAGGCTAGAAATGCTATCATGACATTTCCCACTGAACCTTTGTAAATAAATAAATAAATAAAAGTAAAATAAGCTTAGGTCACAGACGCTTTACAGATGTCAGCTGCACTTGTGAGAACAATTTTTTGTATTTCTTTATCAGCAACGAGTCTATCAGCACCTTTTCCAATCAAACCTAATAACCCAACTACAACTGGAATTTTTGATGTCTTCATGTGCCACATTTTTTAGATTTCCACTTCGAGATCCTTGTATTTTCATAGTTATTTTTTAAAAGAGTTTTTTCCTAACCGGTGTTCTGGGGTTCCACAAGAGTTGGGTTTTGTGAGAAACACTGATAAATAGGCTAATGCATTTATGAATAATTATTGTTTAATTTTATATTTGTACAATGTGAAAAAATATGATGTGGCCAAAATATGATGGCGCCCCATCATGCATGAACCACATGCTTCTTCGTATTAGCAGTACGGCAGTACTGTAGTATAGTAAGGTATAATGTTGGAAAATCCTTGGTTATTATAATAGAGTCTGCAACCTCTGATATTATTTAGAATTATAATTATAATAAGGGAATGTATTTGGCGATGTCTATTTGACGTCAGTGTGAAACCATCTTCGCTGGTTAGTGGACACAACCTGTACGTGGAGGATTCGTGTATCATTAAGTGACTCACTCAAGTACAAGATGCTTGCACAGTGTCCATATATTATGTTTACCACATGAACTACGATAAAAATATAAGAGAGATAGATTTAAATAATGGTGTATAATAATTTTTATACAGGAATTCCCTACGACGTGAAACTATTTCAAATGTTCTACATGGGAAAAAGATTGAGTAACACTTGTGTGTATTGTAAAGTCCCATAAAATTGTTACAGTTTTTATGTCTTGTTTTTGTTTTAAACCAGAGATTTTGCATTACGGGTGTTTACCATCAAATCGTACGACCCCGAACAGATAGCACTTTTTTCAGTACATTTGTAGTACCGAGTAACGCAGACTTCTGAAGTGAATACTGGCTTCATTCCGATTTTTTTAATGTAGAACTTTAAGTTCGGTGATACAGACCCCAACGCCCTAATGATAAACTGGGTATCAGTACATTCTGGAAAATTCAATCTGTAGGTTGATGTATTTATAATTCACCAACTTCCCGAATGGATACGGCATATAGAAGAAGAAAAATGGTAATAGTAGCTGTTTCCTTATAAGGAAACATTCGGTATTCATTGACCTGTCAGTTAAATTTTCTAAAATCTTTCTCTTAAAACAATTTTTCAGTAAAATAGCTTTCTCGATTTTACTATTGTCGCCATTTCCAGTATTGATGGGGTTTCCTTTCTAAACTTTTGTTTGAAGTAATGTGGAATGTCCACATCCTCATTGTGGGATTAGTTTCTCTTCGATTTACATGTCATATCCATTTTAGTTGTTGGCGTTGCTGAAAGTTCTCAAGTGACAGGGTTTCTGTTATTTGGTACAGTCCTTTGAGATTCTGTAGCGCCAGTTCACAACGCTCGAATCCGTTTTAACCATTGACCTTAGAAAGCGGTTGTATATAGCTGACAGTTTAGACATTTGAAAGAGTTTAGCGCCATGCATGGTATCTATATGAAAATCTCGATCTTATGAGGCTATTTAAGAACACGACACGGTAAATGATTACATAGCGCAAGTTCACGGAGTTCGAAAAAGGGATATCTCTATCTATAAAAGGCAGGATGTGTGTGTGTGTGTGTGTGTGTGTGTGTGTGTAACGAATGCACGGCCGCAATTTTCGACGGATTTGCACCAAAATTTACATGCACATGCTCCAAGTTAGCAGGAAGGCCAAGACTGACTTTGCATTTCCCAACTCCCATCGATAGTGGAAATAATCGATTTTTTCAAGCTTCTACGGCAGTTTTCATGTAGTTTGTGGCTATTTTCTACTGGCCAGAGTGAGAGCCTATAGCTGGCTGCCACGAATAGGCAGGAAGATTCTATTGGCCAGCGTGAGAGCCAACAGCTGACTGACGCGAATGTTAACTAGCATGCTAGTAGCAAAAAAATGAATAGCTGCATTCGTCACAAGTGGGAAAAATTTAAATCTGCATAGCATTTTACTCCAATTGGCTCATTCGCTTGCTTAAACTCAACGTTGATTCTGATTCCGCAGAACTGGGTTGGGTGTGAAAAAGTATTTGTTGTTAACATTCTTTTTTTATTCGGTTTTTCCAGTTACGAGTCCTTTT